AAAAAATATATTTACCGTATGCATTTGGGTACCACGGCCTAACTACTATAAGACTTGTAAGATGCATTCCAATTCCAACGACTATAAATCATGTAACGAGGTGCATCTCCACGTCTCTTGAATGTAAACGGACTAAACTCGTTCAAAAAAAATATTTACCGTATAGCTGACACCACAGTCTACACTACAGGCCTTGAGAACCATTACAGTTGGACTGGCGCAAGTCGACAGATTTAACCTTTTTCTCTCTCCTTTCCTTCTGGATTGACCCCCCTCCCTGTCCAATTGCAAAACCAAAAACCGGGTAGGAATCAGAAACTGCATGCGGATTTTTCCTGTAGGTGAATGAAAACACAAGAAAACATCAAGTTGCCAACCTTGGGCTCCAATTTCCCTTCAAATTTATTTTTGACATTGACACCGCACCAACCAGAAATGGCTTGCACCCACGCCGCCTTCTACGTCCCGCAACCACTTGCCTTTGATGGTGGCCTGTGTCATTAAATTTTGTATGCAGTGGCAATGCATTTAAGAAAATACAATTGATTTGGTTCTTTTCTTTTCTTTTCTTTGTATGATTGATTGATGGGATATCTTTTCTGCACGGGGAATTCCTCATCAGTTATGGATTTACCTTCAATTTGATCATGGGGTCAAATGAGGAGATGATTGAGATGGGCTCATGTTTCATTTGACGAGGGGAAACAAAAGCTATGTGCGTGTATATATTTTTTTAATTATTATTTGTTGATTTTTTTTTAAACATAATTCCAAAAGACATGGTCAAATCTAAATTTCAAAAAAGTGGGGAGTACGTATTTTTTTTAACGTGGTTAATATTATTGGATCTGAAAAATCATGTGTTATTATTTATTGATTTTAATTAAAAAATTATTTTTAGATTTTTTCAATAGATTTCACATTGTTATAATTAGTAATTTATTTATGATGATATATCGAGGATAATTTGACATTTTCCTGGTTTGGATTGCTCTAATTTTTTTAATGGCTTAAAAAATTGAACTTGATGTAATATTTATAATTTTTTTTTGTTTATAGAAATTATTTTGAGAAATTTTAGAAACATTTGGAATTGCCTTTGCAAATTATATTATTTTTTCACTGATAGTGTTTTTACAAATCATAACTTTAGAAAATAATATAATTCAATTGACCGAAAAATTCTTCCTCTATCTTATTTTTCTCATACCGAACATATTTTAAATTATTTTGTTGTCATTTTCCATTAATCCAACAAAAGAATTTTGGACTCATAGTTAAAAGAAACATACAATGGTATTAGTACAAAAAATTTGTTAAAAATTATTTATCATTTTTGGGGCAGAATGTAAAGAATATTTGTTAAAGATATTCATAGAAACATATTTTCTACTTCTCCTTTCATTGTAAAGGCTGAATTTTGCAGGTACTGTTGAATGTCTACAGAATTTGATCCTTCATACATGAGTCTCCCTCTTCTCTTTAAGCATCATTGGTAATCAGTGTCGGAATTTGGCCATGATCTACAAAATCAATCTTGTTCAGTCTCAGACAGCACAGCACTCGCTCTGGAAGTTCTTCCTGTTTATGTGCCTGTCGAGAAAGCAGATGATTTTGCACAATAAGGTTCCAATGTAGGGAGTATACATAGAGGCATGGAACAGGATCAACCCCAGTTTTAAGACAGGACTTGTCACACATAGATCATGAATCCTCTTTCTCGGTCTTTTTTTAAAACAAATAATATGGATCAAAATGTCTGGCTAAGATGTGACTGGATTGAGGATGTTATTACCTGGATGGTTAAGCCCACATCAAGTACTCCATTTTTCAAGCGTTCTCGGAATGATTCAAGTCCCTTCCTTGATATGTAGCTAAAGCGATGAATGTCCAGATCAATCTCAAAGTAATTAGGCCCCTGCCATAAGAAATAACAAGAATAGTGTCATAGCTTATGCTATAGTGGCACACCAGTAATGAAGTGCTTCCATATTCAATAATGCCTGTGTTTTAAGGGAAAATTGTACTCAAGATCACTCTAGCATGTTTAAAAAATTTAGATGAAGAAACTAAGAAGTTTTAAGGGCTATCAAAAAGAGGGGTGTTTAGTGATTAATGTTCTGGAATGAAAATTTTGATGATAGAATGCTTTCTTCCCGTGCCAACATAAGCTTGATATGGACAGGGGTAAAGGGATGAACAAGAAAATGCGAGAACTTATACCATACCTTGTAAAAATTGTGCTGAGGACGTGAAAGGACAGGTTTTTCGTTATAAGCATTTACTAGTTTCTTTTCAGCAGAACCCAAGTTGAGATCTTCAGGATTGATCAACCCAGCCATGATCTTAAGCCTTTCTCTAAAAGGAACGGTGAACTCTTTAGCAAACCCTTTAGTCTTTTCCATCTCATCATCAACCAATTTCTGTAAGCACGAACAGAAATCTTTTAACAAATTTTACAGTACTGAAAGATACCAGAAAAGTAATGAAGGTCTTCTACAATAAACAGGAAACATAATAACATAGATTCAGGCTTTCTCAAAGAGATTAGCAAATGCTACCACAGTTAAGGTAGCAGGTATTTGGAGCTGACCATTGGATCATCTATTTAAAACCACAACATAGAAGTTCAATATGGAATACGGTTAGATGTTGACTTGTTGAGAAAAGAATCAAAAAGATAGGGAAAAAAGCATCCATAAAATGCACTAACATAATTTGCTTTATCACAATTGCCAAAGAAGCACCAATTACTGTAATCTAAATACTATGCAAGTACAGCAACTTGTTCAGATAAAAGACAATGATCAATGTTACCTTGATGAAGTCTTGATATTGGTCAGAGATTTCATTCTCAAAATTCTCAGAAACTCTGAAATACAGTACAAGACTCATTCCTTCACCATCACCAACACCAAGGAACATTGCTGCAGGATATGTAGGCAACTGCCACAAGACAAAGAAGAGAACTTATGACACTGGAAACTCCTAAAGAAGCCAATTTTTTTTTTATTAAACAATGAGATTGCATTTCAAAATTCCTCCATAAGAAACATGTAAATAATACTTAAAAGAGCCCAAATTACCTGGATATTTACAATTAGAAGAGGTGGAACTCTCCCGTTTGATTTCACATTGGGAAGCTCAATATGTTGAGCAATGTGATTTATCTTGCGCGGGCATGCAAATAAGTCAACACCTATTGGAGTATAGGGACTGTAATTTGGAGCAGGGGACTTGCGCTTATCTCTGCAAGGGAAATAAATAAAGGGAATAATTACATGTTGCAATTGCCTATTAATCAAGGTGAGAAGCGTTGGCCAAAAAAATTGAAGGTGAGCGTTGACTGCATACTTAAAATAGGTCTCTCCTCTGAGTTTAAAAGTTGAGGGAGGAATCTCTGACCAAGATCCTGGATTTTGCTTATCCAATGTACAGCCTGGTATTATATATCCTGCTTTGGGACGATACAAAAATCTCTGCGATGAACCTGTGTATATGACAATAAATTAGATTTTAAATAAAGACTTTTCTTTGAAGTAGTAAGTGACTGAAACATGGATTAGTTCAAAACTAAATCTTGGGATGTCCTTACACTCTTGACTGGTTTCTCTGTCACATGATCTCCTCTTAAAAGAGAGCCTGAAAACTGCTGTCTTCTTTCTTTGGGACTGGGCAGCCGTGGTTGATGCTAAAATCTTGTCATTGAAACTCACAGAAGGAACCAACCGGGCTAACCTGGATTTTAAGGTTTTCTCTTCAGAGTTACATCCATATTCTGTCAGACCTTTAAAGCTTCCATAAGAATGTTCTAATAATTTCTTCCTCTTACTACAAATATCATCAGCTTTTCCCCAGTGCAAAAGCTCAAAACCTTGAACATCTTTGCGCAAGAGCTTTTCTGCTTTAACCCCATCTATTTTCAATATACTCTCATGGTATTCTTCATATTTACCCTCGCCATCAACAAAGCATGAAGAACTTTCATACTGCACCACCTGGCCACTTGAGATGTTTGGAATTGCATCACCCATTGATGGAAAACAATCTGAAAAGGAAAGGGAAAGAATAAGGGAAATATTGTGCACAGTCCAGTCAGAAATTAAAAGACATTTCATTTCATCGAAAATATGAAAAATAGAACTGGGCATTTTATTAATGAAAACAATTATATGTAGCATAGTCATAAACAGCGGACAACCACAACATCTTATCAAAAGTTCACTTAAGAAACTCAAGCAAGCAGTAGTGTGTAATCTATCAGTTCAAATCTCTAAAACTTGGTATAGTACGTGCAAGAATATATGGCCAAAGATCACAAACGTTAATCTTTTTGCAACGGTGTCTCTATAGTCTACATCAATCTGAAGGTTACCGAAAGTTCTCCTAACCTCATAAGGCCAGGATAGATTCATGTCTTATTACCTCCGTACACGCTGCTCGAGTCATCATCTGATTCAGATTCCAGAATACTAAGTGAATCAAACCAAGCATCCTCTTGGCAATGTACTGCAAACACATACATCCAAAGTCAAATCAATTTTCATCTTCAACCCCACTATTCCAAATATCTTTCTTCAAGAGAAAAAACCTTAATTGAAACAATGGTACTAATTATCTTCATTCCCTAACAAAATATTTCTGCAAATAAGAGTGACATTGATCAAATGAAAATACATACCACTTGCATCAACCTGGCTAAGATGCCACTGCAACTGAGTGATATGGTATCCAGAGTTTGCGACCTCAGATCTTCTGCAAGTAGCTGTAGCACCATTCTCAAAATCCATATGCACATACTCGCTCACCATATCTGTCACTCGAGCATCACCATTTCTCTTCTTGGTTCCACCTTGTACAGAACTGGAGATCTTTCCACGGAATCTGAGGCGCAGAAGGGCATGTCTTTTCCGTGGCTTCCTTTTTTTAGTTGGCGTTAATGGTGTTGATACACAACCCCCCATGATGACCGCTTAACTACAAAATCCAGGTAACAATAAGAAATTATCATTCTTAGAGACACAAACCTTGCTGAAACAAGAAATTTGACAAGGCCTAACTAACTCTACAAAGACAAAACCATATTGATTGTTACAGTAGAAAAATATCATGCTACAAGTTCAAAACAACAATAATAATAATAATAATAATAATAATAATAAGGACGAACACAATATGAAACAAGAGAAAAGAAATTTAATTAATAAGAACAGTCCAAAACCAGAAAAATTAATAGAATGAAACAGTAGATTAAGAAAAAAACCAGCATAATAAGCAAAACCAGATCAAAATTAAACATTATAAATAAACAAAAATGAAAAAGAACCGGAAAGATCAACTCATCAAACTCACAAAAAATTTTACAAAATGGGATCAGAATCAAACATCAGACCAACAATCAAACAGAAAAAGAAAAGAAAAGAAAACCCATCTACCTCAAAAACAGAAAAACAAATACAAGCCTCGAGACCGAAATATGGATCTCTCTCTCCCTGCAACAAGAACAGGAAACCAGCAACGGCACAGAGAGGGAGAGGAAGGGGACGCTCAGATCAAACAGGTCGGTTGGAGTCTGAAGAGGTTGGATCCGGGTTACACTAAGCTTCTTACCAATTCTAAATGGAGGGAAGCAAAAGGAAGAGGAAGAAAGGTGAGGAATTGGGTAAAGGGTTTTATAAGATTGAAGGAATTAATGGCGGAGGCAGAAGGAAATTGTGCTTTGGATTGAAATGGAGGATTGTCTTCATCAACAATGACAATGTAATGTAATATCTTCAGTTTTGTTTTGTCTCCCCGTGAGTTTAGCTTTCCAATGTCCTAAATTTCGATGGCTTCCATCGTTGTCTGAACTGAACGACACATAACGTCATCAGTGCATGGGAAAATACCTCATCATGGGGAAATTTCCTGCTGGACAACTGAAAATCAACACACCAAACCCACAAAAAATTTACGAAAATGAGTCTAAATCCCTTCTTAATCACAAATAATTTGAAAAAAAAAAAGGTGATAAAATGGACAAAAACTATAACTTTCAAAATTAATTTAATTAAAAATTATATGGATATAATAGCATCCTGAAATTATAACTTTTAAAATCTTAATGCTTTAATATATAATTATTTTTTTAAAAAAATTTATATTTACTTATTTAATAATATAAAATTTTAATACACATATAAAATGTTATATTATACATCATAGATTAAGTTTTGATATTTATATTTAAAAAAGTTAATTTATTTAAATATTTTAAATTAATATAAGAATATACTTTTGAGACCATTTTTGTGATCTAATAATTATTTTTTTTTATGACAAGACTTCTCATAATAAAATTTAAAAATATGAAGTTAAAAATATACCGTTATAATCATTTTAAAAAGTTGATTTAAGATATCATGATTTTTTTTTTAAAGGACACATATTATAATTATTAAATTTGAATTATAAATAATATTATAGATTTATTATTCTCGTTATTACTTTTGAGGTGCAGCCAATTTCGGTGGTCAACACTCCTAATTTAATATTTTGAAACATTCAACTTCAAAATTTGACCCTTTCATTTAATAAACAAAATGGACACACAGAATGTTAAAACAGGGTGTGGGAAGGGCGGCTTCGTCGAAAGGAGAAACGGTGGGCATTTCCCCTGTGACTGACCGCGACGCGAACTGCCTTCGGGGTTTACCTGTTACCGACACATACGGTTAAGAGTGTGGGAGCGTCAACGATGTATGTTTAGGGATCCCACAAATCCAATTTACCCAACCCAATAACATAACATCCAAGAAAGAACACACAACTTAGTACCCGCCGGCCCAAACAAAGAGCCCAATTATTATATTAAAAAATAAAAAGTCCAGTAATCGTTATAAAATACCTGAAGACAAAGTGACATTGCAACAATGTAATTTCATAAAAAATTATTTAAGTTTAGGAGATTATTTTTTTGGTACATCTGATAATAATGAGTTACATAAAAATAAATAACCCTTTTTTTTTTTCTTAAATCCTTTTCTACCTGATTCAAGTTTAAATTTAAGATTTTCAACTTAAAATCTCAAACTTTTAATCAATGAAGTCAAAATGGTTAAATTTAGGTTATTACATAAGAAAGATTTGAAACTTTGATTCCTCAAGAACTATATTTGAAAGGAAAAAAATATGAGTTAGGTACGTAACACAAGACTTACAATAGAAGAGAGATATGGAAAAAGAAAGGGCAATCAGCTAGCTACTCAGTTGTTAAAGCCATGGAACCAGAATGACAGTTTACCAGAGTTGTAAGGTTTGGTATCTAAATCATAATACAATCCAAACTCTGACTGTAGACAGATGTGGCATGTTCAAGGGACATTTCAGAGACATATGTACTTGAGTTAATAATCTGGGACTGGGATGGAAGAAAAGTGATATCCTTCAGCACCCCTCCAAGCATAATACGCTATTCGGGTTTCATAAAAGCCTACGCAGCAAGTTTTCAATCAGTAAAATGGTGATTGGTAAGCCCTGTACTTATGTGGGAGGACTTTAAATGGGAGGACTTTAAAGGACATCTGTGAAGAAAATGCTAGACAACTGACATACTATTTTTCAACTTTTGCCACAGAGCAGTTCTCTTTAATGCAGCAACATAAACAAAAAAACTAACAAAATCTGCCTTTATTAGTAGTGCATTCCCTAATGTATCATATGGCAATGCAAACATTACTCAGTTCCAAGTTCCCACATGAACAGAGAAAATCATTCAAAATCAGAAGGCCATC